CATATACGTATAGTAATATCAAAAAAAAGTATCGCTGCAGTACACTTTTTTTGATAGATGTGTGGTATACAGTAAAAGTAAATGTAAGAAATAAACGAAGAAAAAAAATAAAGGCATCAGTAAGAGTAAAATGAGACATTGGAGACTAGATTTAACAGAGAACAAGAAAGAAAAGAAGAAAAAAGAAAATGAAAATTATGATTTTATATATATCACTATTCTTATGTTTATTTTGGTTTCTATAATTATATGAATAATTGTTTGTTTTTAACTTTTCCATCTAAGGCGTTTAACTGAACGTTGACTACCACATAATTGACACTCTATTCGCCATAAACCAATTGATTTTATCAAATGTGTTCGTGCTTTTTGACATGCTAGACAAGTAACATATTCATCAAGAAATGTTTTCAATACATTATCAAAAGTTGTTCGAGTTGTTCGAGCATTAAATGTTAATTGTTCACGTTGATTTATTGATGATTTACAAGCATAATATTGATTAATATATTGTTGAAATAATTGTGCATCACGATTTAATGCACGAAATAATCGTACATAAGATTTCCAATTAATAAGTATTGAACGTGAATGACCAACATTTAAATCAGCATGTGGAATTGTAACGGGTGTTTGACAACGTGATATCATTTCAATTCGATCTTGTTCTTGCCGTACTAGACAACGAGCAAGAAGATGATCATAATCATATAATAAATTCGTAGAATTTGAATTCTTTTCTATTGAATGAATTTGTTCACAAATTGGATTTGAGTCTGAAATAGGAGAAGACGGCGGAGAAGAAGAAGATAATGGATTGTTAAGATCTTTGTTTTCGTTTTCTTCTTCTTCTTTTTCTTCTTCATTTGATTGTTTCAATTGCTCATCAGTTGGTAATGCAATAACTTCTTCAGTTGCAGATGATGGTCGACGACTGGATTGAGAAGAATCTGATTTTGAAGGTGATGAACTTCGTCGAAAAAATCGTTTAAAATGACTAAATAATTTTCTTTCAATCCATGATGTTGGATTTGTATTTGTTGTTACTACTGTTGATGTAGTTGTGGAAGAAGATGATGATACTATTGATGGTGTCCAACTATTTCTTCGATCATATTCATCTGATAACATAAACTCTTTTTCTGTTATCATCAACATCTGCGGCAAATAATCAATATCGGTACACATTTGTATATAAGATCTATAAATAGAATTAATCGAATATATGAATGAGTTCGTTTTAATTCTTTTCTTTTATATATTAATAATCAAATTCGAACTTTACTTCGTCTTCTTCTCGGTTTTCTTTGCTTACTCTGTAAATATATCGTTTTCTCTTTTATATACTTCATCTTTTCGCTGTATGTGTGCGGAGAAAATGCGCTCGTCAAACGCGAGAAAGAAAAACAAAAACACTGACTATGAATCTTTGCTTATTCTCAGCTGTTTAGTAGTACAAATGAAAATAGAAAGGAAAGGGAAAAAAAAGAAATAAGAACGGCGATAACGACGTCAACCACAATAAAAACTGCGTATTAGAGAAAAGTGGGTGGTTTAGAAGTTCTGATGTCATTTTCTGATGACATGATTCTATTATTAGAAATAGATGATTGAACTACGAATAAATGCGGAAATGTTTTGTATCACAATTCTTTTCTAACAATTATACATTGTAAATATTAAATGTATATCCATCGTTTTTGTTTCATACTAGATTGGATACAATGACAAATACGAAGGATAAAAAAATAGACACATTGAGTAGACGATAATAGCATAGTTTCAATGTAAACGGTACACCTTGATCTTGTATCTGTTCCCACTAACATCTAAGAAAAACAACATAACAAGACATTAATCAAAAGAGAAACACCTGACATTATTGCTTTATTTATTACAATTTAATCGATTTCGTACACTTCCTCAATTATGTAAAGATCATCTCGTTTGTTTTTTATCATTATAACAGTTCTCTCGATTATTCTATCTCTAAGAATATACATATATTACAATTCATTATGTTATTGTGATGTTTGGATAATATGTTATTTCAAGGACAATCACGTACGAGTTATTGCGCGCGCGTCTTTGTTAGTCTTTCTTTTTTTTTCATATCTTAGTACATTTTCTGTTTTATGCGTAATAGTACTGATTGGAAATATAATATTCATATTCTTACAACTCTCAATAATAATAATAAAAGGGCAACAGTTGTTAATAATAATTCAAAAGAATATAGTATAATCAAGAATGAAAATGATTTTATTTGTCGATCAATCGATAATCTTAAAAAAATCATTGAAAATCTTATGTTTCAAAAAATTCAAAATGAAAAATTTCAATGGCTTTTAAATTACATCAATCAACTTCTAGTCATTTTTAAATATCAATATTATAGTAATGCAACAACTGTTTTTAATATTATCCTAGACATTTATTTGATAGAAGACGGATCGCAGCAGCAGCAGATGTCATCGAATTCGTAAGCATAAATTCACATTGACATTAAGGTCGACTTATACTTTTTTTTATTTTTTCAATTTCTTCGAACTGAAAGTAAAATGTTGTTATTGTTTTGTCACATTAACTGTCGATTTTTATTCCATTGTTTTGCATATGTCTCATAGTTGTTTTTTCAATTCAGTCTAAATATGTTTGTTTGACCTCTACTGTTTTACTTTTACTATGTCATCTAATTCTAACGAAGAAAAATAAAGGGGTGTCTGGGAACTTTGATTTAAAATAACCGGATTCAATCAAGAACGACGTCGACACTTCTAATTTCATATAGATTTCCGAATGCTTATTTTCCATTTCCGTTTGATAATGTTTAACTAATGTCTACGTCTTATTTAAAGTAAAAATGTCTACATAGTAATATTCTTAATAGTCTATGTCTATATAACTAATTATAAACCAAAGAATTCATTTCGTATATTTTTAGAATAAAAGAATCAAAAACAATATCGAATTATTATTCTAATAATAAAAATAAAATATCAATTTTTGAACGAATTTTTTATCCAATAAAAATACAATTAATTGAGTACATTATTAAACAAATAATAATCAACGAATTGTGGCAGAAATTAACTATAGAAAGTTATGGATCATTTGAGCGAAGAATTCATTTAAATGTACTTTTTCGATTGAAATACTTGAATAATCAACTATTATTAACAATAAATAATATATTACGTAAGTTTGAATAAAAAACAAACTTGTTGATATTTATCAAAAAATATTTACGTCAATAAATTTTTTCCCGATGTGTCTAATGCGAATAAACATTACTAATATTATGTTATTCGATACGGATGAATACACACACCTAAAAGATCAACACCCAAACCAGGTAGACCCGGTTATTTATCCACGACGTAATATGAACGACGAAAAAAAAACCAGATTGGGGTAGAAATTTCTTTGAGATAACCCTAGTTTCAATGAAAACTATTGAGAATATTTTTATTTGATAAATTAAAATTAACTTATAAACAAGAAATCTTAAATTTTTTCGATTTAAAAATAAATCAATTTCAAATAGAAAATCATCGTGTTAGCAAATATTCACAAAAATCTATAATGAATAACGTATCTCCGATTAATATTCAAACATGTTGTCGACAAACGTATGATCGATCAACATCAGCATATGCATCTCGAAAGGAATCTCATCAACATTATGCATCTTTGTCAACAATAAGAAATAAGATAAACCAATCTACACCTACAAATATAATATCAAATATAGAAAACAAACTAGGTACTAATACAAAAGATAACATAAAAGCAGAGAAAAATCGAGATTATTTAATTACATCAAATACACTGAAATATCATTCAACACCAACAAATTCTGCCAGTACATCAGATATTTATATTAAATTATCAGATTGTCAAAATGCGTGCAGGTCAGTATGATTTTATTTTATGAAAAACAAAATTTCATAAGTTATTGAATAGACGTTGGGCTATCAAACATAAGAAAAAGAAGCAAACAAAAAAATATTCACATCGAAAAAGAAAACTACCTATTTGTTATCGTAATTTTCCATTGTCTTTCAACGCGCAATCCAAGTATAGCAATATACGAATAGATAGAATGTAAATTCAGTCAATTTTAGATCTGCAGTTCAGGTAAAGATTCAAAAAATCTCTTGCGAAAATAAACATACAGATGACAAAGTTCACAAATCATTGATTTGTTTTGGTATGATTCTTTTTCTTTGTATGCCGAAATAATGAATAGCATTATTCAACTAAGGTTCTGGAACTATTAATTTCATTGATGGACCAGATGGACCTGTACTCTGTTTGAATCAAGAAGATTCAACAAATGATAAACAGATTGATTTATATCGGCATATATCAAACGATGAAATAGATTACAGTAGTGAAGATGATGAATCATGTTTAGATACTGATTCTAGATCAACTTCAAGTCTATCTATAATATCGTCGTATATATTCGAGAAAAAAAAGATTTATAATACCAATATCGAACCGGAAGTTTTACTATTAAATGAAATTGATACTTGTATAATGTATCAATGTCCTTCAGAAGTAACAATACTATTAAATATAGGATCAGCATGTATTCTTACAATAATCAATAGTTTAACAAGAATACAGACAGCGAGCTTACCATTAATAATTACAGAATTAAATAATACAAATCTATGGCAATATAAAACTTTGTTGAATATAAGCATTACTACTAATATCAAAACTGAACAAGAAAATCCAAGTTCGAAACAGATATCTTTCAACTTTATAGATAATTTATGATTTTTATTCAGAATCTATTCTTGATGATATGATTATAAAACAATCAGATCGAGATTCATATAGTGAAAATGAAAAGATTGATTCTTCAAATAACAAAATCTCTGAGTTAGTATCATTCACAAATGAACAAATACTAGAAGGTATGCTTATCTAAAATCATTTGTAAATATACTATATAATTTCAAAAGATGATCCAACTAAAATCTTCCATCCTATACAACACGATAGTGAACATTGGAATGAAGTTGATTCTTTGAAAGCAACAGCCAACGAAGCAATTCTTTATTCGGATCATCAATCTATATCTGAAAATAAAGGTACGAACATATTTGTTAATTTGTTTATCTTATGTACAGTTATTCTATCTTCAATGAAAGAAACTCCATTTTTGGGAAGTTTCGAAGAACTTTCTATAGAAACTAAACAATCATTCGATCAGATGTCATCGTTACTAACAGAACTAGAAAGTGGTACCAATCATCTTGTCGATAGTCAACGATCTACAACTACTATCGGTAAGTAGATAGAAACAATGCATTTGATATTATTCTAAGATATATAATTAAGAAATTATTTTATTACCTTAAAAGAAGAACAGCAAATATTCGATGAATCATTCATAGCAACACCTACATGTGTTCAACTCCATCATTCATTCGAACAAATTATCAATATAAATTCTGATCAACTTCTATCAACATCTTCTCTTCCATATGATGAAAACTCAACTTTTTCTAAACATCACATGTTACAAAATTCTCGTAATGATCTAGAAGGTAAAACGGATATTGCTCATCAAAGTAATACTTTCATTAAATAATTATATTTCATAATGATGTAATCTCTTTATTTTTAGATGATTTAAAAATAAATGATAATACATATCAGATGAACTGTGAGGTTTTTAATATCATTCGTAATTAACTCTAATTTCTTCTTTGATGTTTCAAGATATCAGCCATGAAGAAAAAATATCTCTTTCTAAAACACAATCATCCAATATGAAATATCCACCATTGATGTCAATATCTCATCTAAAAAGAAAAACTCTGCCTGGTATTTTTAGAACAAAATTAAGACAAATAAATATACAATATTTTGTAGAAAATATAGATGTAAATTCATTACAAGTCTCATCTGAGACAATGTCTAGTGAACTAAATGCTACAGTTCAATATTCGAACGAAAAAAAACAATCGAATGAGAAGCTTAAA